AAAAAAGATATACTAGGGAGCTCTGGTGGCCTACTGGCAAGAAGCTGCACTGCAATCCCAGAGGAACATGGTTCGAATCCACCAGATGCTCTGCTGGAGAAGGAGGGACAATCTCTGCCTGCACCAGTCAGATCTGATCTGATGGTACACACACACAAAAGAATAAAATAAAAAAATATTAAAAAATAGATATACTGTTACATTTTTATTTTTTAAAAAATACCTTCAAAGTCCAAGACTTTTTTAACATACAGTGAATTCCTGAGACTGATGCTCATAGCCAGGAAAAGCAGCCCTATCTTTACTTAGTTACCATTGTTTGTTTCTAAATCAACAGGAGATACCAGTCCTCGGAGAAGGACATCATTCTTGGAAGGCTGGAGAGTCAGGCCAGAAGAGGAAGACCCTGGATAATATGGGATGGCACAGTGACTGTGGCAATGGGGGCAGGTGTATCAGAGACGGTGAGGTTGGTTCAGGATAGGACAAGGTTCAGAGCCACTGCTAACAGGGTCCTAGGAGTCATCGTCAACTTGACAGCATCTAACAATACAGCTGTGCTTTGCTTTTAACAACATCTCTGATCTTCTAATCATCAGGTATGAAAAAGAAACATAAATACACATGTCCCATCACAGTACATGAAATGAGATACTGGTGTTAAAGTATAGACCCTTTCCTTTTCCTTGCCTTCCTCCTTTCTCTTCCCAGAAATAGTTATTGATTAAGAGGTGAGGTTTTTTTCCAATTCATAATTCTACGTTTTTATTAAATATTTATGTATTTTGTATCTGCATGTATAATTTTGATGGCTTTAAAAAATTCATAAGTGATAAGTTTTTGTTGTTTTTAAGTACCATAGAATTGAGTATGGCTTATTGCAACCCTGTGAACAATATATTTGAACTGGGTCCTATGCTATGCCTTTCTTGTCATCCTTGACACATTTGAGTTCATTGTTGCAGACCCTGTATCAATCCATCCCATTGATGATCTGTCTCTCCTTTGCTGACCCTCCACTTTTTCAAGCATGAGGTCCTTTCCAAAGAATAGCTTTCCCCAACAATATGTGCAAAATATATGAGATGAAACTTCCCCATATTTGCCTCCAAGGAACATTCTGGATACACTTTTTCCAAGACATATCTTTTGTTTTTTAACAGTCTATGGGGTATTCAATAAACTTCTCCTACACCACAGCTCAAATGCATTGATTCTTCTCCTGTCATCTTTATTCATTGTCCAGCTCACAGATGCAAAGCAGGTGACTGGACAGACTGTGGCATACACCCATTCCCACCACCCCAATCACAGAATTGATCCATCTCACCGAGAGTCTTCCTCTCCTGCGCCGTCCCTCCACTCTCCCAAACATGATGTCCCTCTCCAAGGACCAGTCCCTCCTTGCAACATGCCCAAAGTATGTCAGATGAAGCTTCAGAATCCTTGACTCCAAGGAGCATTCTGACTTCACCCTCTCCAGGACAAACCTGTTTGTTCTCCTAGCAGTCCATGGTATATTCAACACTCTTCTCCAGCACCACAGCTCAAAGGCATTAATTCTCTTACTATCATTACTATTCACTGTCCAACTCTCTGATGCATAGCACGTAACTGCGAAGACTATAGCCTGGATCAGGTGCACCTTAGTCTCCAGCCTGACATCGTTGCTCTTCAGTACTCTTGAGAGGTCCCTCACAGCTGACTTTCTAAATGCAATTCGTTTCCTGATTTCCTGGCTGCTGTTACCAAGAGTGTTGAGTGTGGAACCAAGTAAACTAAAACTATCTCAATCTCTTCATCATCCATACTGATACTGCCAATTGGCCCAGTGGTGAGAATCTTTGTTTTCTTGATGCTGAACTTCAATCCATATTGAAGACTTAATATTGAGAAAATGGGAAAATATATAGATCTCTTCCAGTCAGTTTGACCAGGTAGCTGTCTCCAAATTTCCTGGCACAGACTGGTAATGCTAACCTTAACCCAAAGTGATATGTTGTTGCTGTTATGTGCTTTTGAGTCACCTGCGACTTACAGCGACTCTATGTACAATATCCCTAAACCCTGCACTATCCTGTGCCAATCTTACTGTCCCTGATGCACTACCTCCATTACCCCAGTCATTGAATCAATCCATTTCTTCGAGCATCTTTCTCTCTTGCATTGTCCCTCCACCCTCCCAAGCATGATGTCCCTCTCCAAGGACAAACCTGTTTGTTCTCCTAGCAGTCCTTGGTACTCTTCTCCAGAACCACAGCTCAAAGGCATCTATTCTATTTATATTATCCCTTGTCATTGTTCCAGAAAGCTTGAGATATAAGCCATCATATCAAGGGCTGGATAGAGGCAGATAGGTGTTGAATGGAGTAGATAGGAGTATAAGGGGATGCTGGTGGAGCAAGGAAAGGGGTGTGTGAAGGGCAGGGACAACACTGAATCTATTGATTATTTCTACAATTGGGGAAATATCTTTCATCTGCTCTTTTCCGTCAAATTCTTGTCAATCAGATAATGTTCTAAATCTTATCATTCAAATTAAGGCAGACTTAAAAGAAGGATTGGCCATCCACTTCTGAAATATCAGGACTTTGAAAACCTTATGTACAATAGAGCACACTTAGACTAACAGATATGGCAACCGAGGTTGAGCCCTCAAGTATGGAAACACAAAGGAGGAGGAAGAGTTGTAAGCAGATACTAGTGATTGGAACATGGAAAGTGAAAGTGATATAATTTTTAAAAATTAACATTATAGTTTTAAATGTTCCCGTAACACTCTATGTATACACCTGTTACCTGTTGTTTTCAGGTACAATCAAGTCCTCTACAACTTTTAGAAACCATATGAACAAACAACAGATGGAAAGCTTGTCCTATCCTGCACCATATATATTACATTTGATTTATTACAGAGTATTTAATTTTATAAAAATGGCGCCATTGATTTGGCTATTCCCCTACTGGCTGCTGTTTAGATTATTTCCCTTACGCTGTAACTATACATTATGCTATGGAGGAAGTTTTAAACATACCACTCTACAGGCGTCTAGAAGTATTCTTCTAGGGGTGAATTTGTTTTGCATTTTCCCTTCAATAGAACATTAAGACCTCACATAGTATGTGTTCACAAAGCCTGCTGTTTAAGGCAATCCTGGGGTGGGGAGCCCTCCATTGAGAATGTAGATGCTGGAGTCCTGGAGCTCTGAGTTAGAATCCTGGTTCTCACATTTACAGGCTGTGCAGCCTTGAACAAATGAGTTAAGTGCCAATTGCCTCATTTCCCTCCTGTATCATATTAAAAATCCTATTTCCCACATCCGTGAGTCTTGTCGTTGCTGTTGTTATATACCATCCACTTCTAGCTGATCTTTCAGTAGGTTTTCAGAGGCAGTGAATCCCAGGGGAGGAGGCTACCTATTTTTCTCCTTCAGAGCAATTGGTTGACTTGAACCCCAACCCCTTACCACTTAACCACCAGAGCTCCCCCTTCAAGGAGTCATAGTGAGGGTTAATTGAATCAATCCAGTAAAACACTTGGCACAGTGTTTTAAACACACATACTTCTAAATAAATAATACCACCTCATTGCTATTGAGTCAAAATTGACTCTGCTTACCTTCCAGTGGGTTTTCAGAGACTGTAATTAATTACACAGGAGGAGAATGCCTAAGTGCCACCCATGGCACTTATGGATGTGAAACTCGTGCCTTTGGACTGGCAGTGCAACTCCTAACTCTCTTGGCCACCAGAGGATTCCTTCAATAAGTAACAGCAGTAATAATGACTACTGTTATTACTATGATTATTTAGTAGAAATCTATAAATTATTAACTTGTTGGATATATATTTTTAACACTAATCGTGATCGAGTTGATACTGAAAACACAGGACTGACTGCACCTCCATAAACCAGGAAGAGCTCCTGATAAGTGCATAGTAACGGTCAGAATATTAGTACCTGGTTTATTTTATTATCATCCAGCGCCAGGATTTCCAAGTTCTTCAGTGCACAAATCTGCCGTGGAAAGCTCTCCAGATAGTTCTGACTGAGGTCCAGAAAACGCAGGTGGACCAGGCGCTTGAAGGAGGGCCGCAGGCCCTGCAGGCCTGTGTTGCGCAGATAAAGCAGATGCAGAAAGGGCCACTTGCAGATGAGGTGGGGCAGCTTCTCCAGGGGGTTCTCATTCAGCCCAATCTCGGTCATCTCCGTGAGCTCAGTGAGGGTGTGCGGGATGAAATGCAGGAGGTTGTGGGACAAATCCAGGACTGACAGTTTTCTACACTGGCCGAGAGTGCTGGGTATAAAAGCCACGTTGTTATGCGCCAGGTAGAACTTCTGCAGCATCTTCAGATTTCCAATCTCTTCTGGGATGCCATTGAGTTTGTTTGTTTCTACGTCAAGGATCTCCAGGTTGTAGAGTACACAGAGCTCCACAGGGAAAATCTCAAACTGGTTATGATCCAGGTAGATCTCCCTTAGCTTGGTGTGGTTCTCTATTTCCTTGGGCAGAGATTTCAGGAAGTTTCCTGAGAGGCCTAGCAGCTCAAGATGGTGAAGGGATTTGCAGATTGAAAGGGGAAAGTCCCTCAGGTTAATCCTGTAGAGTCGGAGCTCACGCAGGCTGCGGATGTGGCCGATGATGGGAATGGAGCACGTCTTGAGGGGATTGTTACTCAGGTCCAGGCCTTCCAGGCCACTCAGCTTCCCCAGAGCTGGGCACAGCTTCTTCAGTTTGTTCTGGTTCAAGTACAGGATCTTGAGATTCTGTAAAAGCTGAATGTCCTCAGGGATTTCTTCAATCATGTTATTTTCTAAATGTACTTCTTCTAACTCTTTTAAGGCAAAGATTTCCAGTGGGATGGTGGTAAGGTCCTGGTTAGAAGCATCGATGAAAAATATTCTGTCGGTGATATATTGTGGGTTATCTCTCTGAAGTTTAGGTTTAAGTTCTTCTGATTTTATAAAGTCCGTTGACATTGTTTCAAAAGAAGATCAAACATTCGAAGTCTGAAATATTGTAAAAAGGAAGGGGAGAGATGGAAAGTATGGTTTACCTTGGCATCCTTAAAACAGATCAAATGTAAATTTAATTTATCCTATTATGTCATAATACAAAACATAGGAGTTTGTGTTTCTTTTGGGGAGAAGAATTGAAGTGTAGGCTTCTCTTTCTCCTATCAAGTTAACTCTGTTATGGAGAACATAATACGTGTCTTGTTTTCAGTTTTTAAAAAGGCAGGGCAATCTGAAAGGAAGGGACTATTAGAAAGTTCGTGTATAGCAATTAATAATCTGGAGCAGGACAAATTACAAGGGAATTGGGGAGACTGAGTGAGGAAAATGTGCATGTAAGAATGAAAACCATTTTCTTTGCAAACTTTCACTAAAATAATAATAATTTAAAAAAATCTATCTTCATTCTGTCTCCAAGTAAGTATGAAGAGGTAATAAAGCATAAGAAAGAATTAAGGAGGAAAATCATAAACATTGAAAAAGTCACCAGGACAATTGTTTGTTGTTGTT